TTTCAATTCAGCCCTCAGGCTGCCACCAGAGGGGTTTTTCTAAAATGTTGATCTGATTGCATGAGACTCTGCAGTGAAAATCTTTCAATGGCACCTTAATGCCTGTAAGATGAAACCCTAACTCCTCGGCCTGGCCTGATAGGCCTTTCAGCATCTGACCCCTGTCTTCTCCCACCACTTCTGTCCCCTGCACACTCACACCCACTCACCTCCACTCCCCTCATCCACATGCTCACTCATCCCCCCCCACCCCCCACAATCTCACTCGCTCACACACTCACTCCTCCACGTGTTTACTTGAGTCATGCTGAACTACTGAGTGTTCCCGGGCTGTTTCGGGCATCTGTGGCTTTCATGTGCATTGTCACATCTGTGATACAAAGAAAGAAATCTTATCTCAATCATATGCTAACACATGCATGGCAAAAATCATTGTTCTGGGGCCGGCCGAGTGGCGCAGTGGTTAAGAGTTGGCTTGGGACACCAGCTCTGAGCAGCAGGGCCACAGTTTGGATACTACATGTGGGCCAGTGACACTGCCCTCTACAGCTAAGATGGTGAACAACAGCTCATCCTGGAGCTGAGCTGCCATGAGTCCCGGCGATGGCGTAGGCTGCAGCCCCTGCTGCAGTGGGCTGCTGTAGGCTACCGTGAGTGGCTGGCAGCCAGCGTGAGCGGTGGGCTGCCGGCGTGAGCTGCCATGAGCCGGCATGAGTGGCTGGCCAATGGCTGGCAAGAGACTGCTGGGAAGAGCACAATGATAATACCAACATGGGCCAGTGAAGCGACGTCCTCCACAACTAGACTGAAGAACAAAAGGACAGCAACTTGTCTGTTCCCCTCCCCCAATTCCCCAATAAAATCTTAAAAAAAAAATCATTGTTCCATTACAAAATAGTTCTGTGAAATTATAAATCAAAACTAGGATGCCAAGACCAGCAATCTAATTTTATCCTTTCCTCAAAGAGTCTGATGGTTGAAAACGCCGCCCTACAATTCCACATTTAAACATATGTATACCCCAAATCATGTTTTTCAATACCATTTAAAAATGTCCATCAATAAAACATATTTCAACATAAATGGTTATTTAAAATATCTAATATATTCCCCACAACTACTATACTTTCCCATTATGGAATAAAGACTATTAATAGGGAAAGACAAAAATAATAAAATAGCTAATATAAAATGCCAACATAAATGGTTATGTGGAATATTATGCAGCTGTAAAAAAGAAAAACACAACTCTATATGTATTTATACAAATCCTCAGGATAAAAAAGTGAAAAAAGCAAGTTGTAGAAAAGCGTGAATAGTTTGCCACTGTTTCCATTAATAAACCATATTGTAAGTGCACGGACTGCCTCTGATAGAATACGGAAGGTAAGGGTGGGGGCTTCTGGAAGGGGGAACGGGGGACAGGGGAAAACAGGGAGGCTTCTTCATTGAACATCCTTTTGTAACTTGTGTGGGTTTTTCAATTAAAACTGAAAACATTTTTCTCAATTGAAAGACTTACAAGGGTTGTACTCTGGCCATTAATATAAATGAAAATGGGTGGGTTAATTTTTCTATGAAGCTCTGGGGTAATCATTAAAAATCAGATAAAAATGATTTAGCTTTTTTTTAAAAAAGATTTTATTGGGGAATTGGGGGAGGGGAACAGTGTTGGGGAATTGGGGAAGGGGACCAGCCAAGTTGTTGTTCTTCAACCTTCGTGTGGAGGGTGCCAGTTGCCATCTGGCTTCCTGTCGGCAGCTCGTGGCCTCTAAGCTCAAGGTGCTGTGTTCAGTCTTAGTTGTGGATGAACATAGCCACCATCCCATGCAGGAGTAGAACCGGCAGCCTTGTTGTTAAGAGCACACGCTCTATCCACTGAGCCATCTGGGCAGCATTACACCAGCTGAGCCATCCTGCCACCTGTTGGCAGCTCAGAGACAGCTCAGCTCAGGTGCAGTGTCACTGGCCCACGTGGGAATCGAACTGGTGGCCCTGTTGCTCAGAGCTTGTGCTCTTAAACCAACTCTTAACCAACTGGGCCACTTGGCTGGCCTTTAGCTTTCCTTTTGAGCTTGTGTTCTGCAAGCTCAATCATTATTACTATAGCTATCATGTAAAGATGATTTGTTTCAGTTTACATTAATGTTATTTTGTGTTCCTTGTATGTGTCCCAACCGAGAGCTGGTTGGACAGCAGGAGAAAATTAACCTGGTCTTGAAATGTGCTCATGGATAATCCAGGCAGTTTACCAAGAGCTGACTGTAGTTCAATCTAAATTTACCAGGGGACGGTCAACATGAGTCTCTCAGATTACCCAAATAACTACATTTCAGCTCTCCTCACTGTAAAAGTGAAATGCACCCAACCATGTTTATGCATCTCAAGTGCCTTTACTTTTCTCCCACTCTCAGTTGAAAAGACTCACATCTAACTTTTAATCTACTTAATGCATTGTTAGGTTGGCTATGTTAAAAAATTACAAATATAAAAATTATGAACAATATTCCTAAGATTATTAGTAAACAAACTTGTCTGTACAAAAAACTATAAACTCACCATATTTGATTATTCTGAGCATTAAATCTTTTGAGCATTTTCACAAATTAGGTGTCATTACAACATAACATTGCTTTTATGTGTATTATGAAGCAATATTTAAGAATTATGACCTCCCCTGAGGTCACAAAAAACTTTTTAGAAGATATGTATGTATTCCACCTTCCACTTTGTGTGGCGTCCAGATATCAAGGACGTCTAAATGAAAGTGAAATCTTGGAGAGTTTAAATGTTAATATTCTTCAAAAATATCCTAGGTGAACTGTACACCAGTGTTCCTAGCAAATTATTCACAATAGTCAAAAGGTGGAAACACCCCAAATGGAGTCCATTAACAGGTGAATAGATAAACAAAATGTGGTCTATCCATACAATGCAGTATTATTCAGCCTTAAAAAGGAAGGACATTCTGACATGCTACAACATGGATGAACCTTGAGGACATTATGCTGAGTAAGCCAGTTACAAGAGGACAGATACTGTGTGATTCCACTAATATGAGGTCTCCAGAGTAGTCACATTCATAGAGACAGGGTAGAATGGTGGTCACCAGGGGGTGGGGGAGGGGGAATGAAGAGTTAGTGTTAGTACAGAGTTTCAGCTTGAGATGATGAGAAAGTTCTAGAGATGGATGGTGGTAATGGTTACACAATAACATGAATGTACTTAATGTCACAGAATGTACACTTAAAAATGGCTAAAATGGTAAATTTTATGTTATGTATATTTTACAATTAAAAAAGGGTAAGTAACAGTATTGTTAAATTTTTTTTTTTTTTTTTTTTTTAGCTGAGCCATCCTGCTACCTGTTGGCAGTTCAGCGGCTGCTCAGCTCGGGCTGGACTCGAACCACTGTTGCTCAGAGCTCAAACTCTTGAGCGAGCTCTTAACCAACTGAGCCACTCAGCCGGCCCCAAAATTTTTAAGTACCCTAATTGATCAGGTAAACCTTCTTGTAGGTTTATAATGAAAATATTGCATTTCTTACTGTTATAAAGGGGCTATTTTGAAAATATTACCTGCCATAGTCTCACAGTGGCCCGTACGGGGATCGAACCAGCAACCTTGGTGTTATTAGCACCATGCTCTAACCAACTGAGCTAACCGGCCACCCCATACCTGCCATATTCTCAAATCCTCCCCAAATTATGTTTTTCTCCTAGGAAGCAGAACATGGAGAATGAATTGGACAGGACAACCATGGCAAGGGATTAAGGGATGCCATGCAGATACAAAGAAACCTGGGATGGATGGAGGACATAGATGGCTCCTGGCCAGCCCCAGCCAGGAGGGGGTCGAGTCAGCCTGGAGACTACTGGTTCAACAGGAAGAATCCATGCCACAAGCCTTACCAGTCTTGCACTTGGTGGGAGATGACCAGTAGGGAGGCCACTGACATCCTGACAGAGGCCTGGGAAGGGACCAGAGGACTTGCCCTTGGAACAGCTGCCCGTCTCCAACAAGGGAACTCTGACACCATGTTGGGGAGAATGTAGAGGGAAGTGGATTGTAATCTTGAATTAATTAAATGTTTATCAGAAACTGAACTAACCTGAAACCTTTAAATTGCAAGAGATGAAGATACAATGGATTCTCATTATTCATGGTCATTCTGTTCTTTAAAGTCACCACAAACACTGGATTAGTGTGAATACCAAAGCATGGCTCCCGCGGAAGTCCAGGGTTAGGTTCCTGTGTGCCTCGGATCACAGTATTTTCATCAACCATTAATACATAACTTTATTTTATGTATGTTCTGTTGAAGGACACCTTATTTAATATATATCATTGATTAACATTGCACTCACAGCCAACAGCACTATAGCCCATGCTGGAATGAGGCTGATCTAACACGTGTATTTTCTCTATAGACATGTCACAGCCTTTCTGTGCTTAGGAACCACTTCTGCACTACATTTGGGGGCCATTTAACAATAACCAATGAAAAGCACAAAAATATGAAAATGTGGCACAAAACAGACCACGAGAAGGACACTTGTTTACAGTATGGCAGCTGAAAGAAGAAGGCAGAACGCTGCCTCGGTTGGGGACGTGTGTATCCAGTGATTCAAATTTTTTGCCACTCTGAGTAGCTGTCACAGCGCTGTGAGTATTGATTTGGGGGTTGCAAATAAATTTTTACAAGTAGGCAAATTCACACAGAATCCATAAATGAGATTGATGTACCTTCATTTGGCATTGTAAGTACTCCAAGTCCACTCATTCTGTAGGATGGGTGCATGAGATTTAGACCAATCATTGAAAATGAAGAATCTACAATTTTTTTTTCTTTTTTGCATATCCAAGGTGTAGTACTTCAGTGTTTGACTCTACCTCACTATTATTTAGAAGGACAGAATGGAAGCTCCCTGAGGGCAAGAATTTTTATGTTTTGTTCATGCCGTATACCGTCTGCAGCTAGAACAGTGTGGCACATAGAAGATGCTTAACAAGTCGTTATTTGTTGAGTGAATGAAGGAATGAAAATCACATTCCAACCAATACATATGGATTTAACTACTGTTGTATCATTGGGCTATGACAGTTACAATTCCACAAGTTTTATAACTTGACATATGTGAAGGGGAAAATAAAACACCCCATTTTCCAGCTCTGCAGAGAGGCCTGGGGCAAAGGAATCAAAATTCAGTAATACGATTTTCTCAGCTGAAGTAAGGATAGAGCATAGATAGTATGATTCAACTCCCTAGGTGACTGGTACCTTAAAGCAGATAAGGTAAATGTCTTCTAGTGCCACAGGGAGAAGAAAACATCAGCAGCCGGGTAAGATTTCAGACCTGCGCTGGGAAAAATGCTGACCTCACTTGGGATGTGGCAGGGTCCCGATGAAGGCTGGTTAGGTAATAATTGACATCTCCTCCCGGTCTCTGCTCTCAGACACTGAGTTGATTATACTTTTTAAATACTTTATGAATTCCATCCGGATCTCTTCAGGGTCATCCTCAAGATTTGAGTGCACCAGCTTCAGCTTGTTCAAGGGTGGCGCTTCAAAAGGAAAGGAATGTAATTAGACACAAATTTTTAATGAGGGCCGTTTCTAGTTCCAAATGACCTGAGTCTTACAGAAGCCAACTCATTTAACTCTCTAGAAAGTCCAAGAATAAAGCTGTGCCTTGCTTGACATAACACAGGAAGGTTTCACCACACTGCCACGTGGCACTAGGGTAATAACTCCATAAGCCACAGCCAGGTCCTCTTTGTTCTTACGCCAGAAAGGAGGAGATTTCTGAGTATTATGAGCCATTTTCTATGCTCATATTGTCACCTCTGTAATGGTGTGTGCCACATGCAAATCAGCGTTTTTCTTGAGAAAAGGCTCGTCAGGAAAGAGTGTCCCTAATAGTCCCGAGGAGTGGCTACAACCTGGTGTTTTTCCCCTCTTAGTATCTACCTGCTTTTAAAGTGCCTATATCTTGGCCTGGATAGTATGGCAGATCTTCCAATCTGGCAATTCTGATTCACCAGGTGAGAAAAACAAATGCCTAGGACACAGTAGTGCTCACTAACTGCACATAGCTGCTGTGTTCACAGACACTGACAAATAGACAAATACCTAGAGCACTCAAGACAAAAAGCAGAAGGGGGAATTTTAGTCTCCTTACACAAAGACAGGTTGCCTTTATCACTTGCAGAGCCTGGTTTGTGGTGTGCGATTAACAGACACTGGGTATCTTGTAGGAACTGCTGCTGGACAAAGCAGGAATACCACGTCTCGATCTCTTTCAGGTGGCTTGGGATGTCAGCATTAAAGATGATCACCACCCCGTGAGCGTCCTTCATTAGGGCTGGCCAGCAGGACTCAAACCTGCAAGATAGCCAAGAACTCAGAGTGAATGCCAGATGGTCTGGTTTCTAACTGTACACTTCAAAAATAATAGTTTAGTATTGGTAATTGATGGGTGACTTCTCATTGTACAAAACCTGGTCACTCAAGTTTCAAGAGCAATGCAATTGACCAGGCCTCTAATATGTGCTAGGAAGGCTGTGAGGCCAAGATGCCTGGTGGGCAGCTGATTTTTTAATCATCTGATGACGCAACACCCTCTTAAAGGAGACGTACTTTGGATCACCGCCACAGTCCCATAGCTCAAATTCGCACCCCGTGCCTTTGTTGTTGCTGGTAACGTGTGGGTTCTCAAACTCCAGGATCCTGAAAACAAAAACAGCAGCAGCATCTCTACTTTGGAAACATGATACTTTGAGTGCCGCCAGCACTCAAAGAAGGGGGTGGGTGACGGATGGGGACTCTGGGACACAGATTTGTCCAGGCTCACCTCACTCCTTGGGTTGGGTTGTATTCGGTGATGTCAGAAGATTCTGTCAGGAAGTTGGCCAAAACGGTCTTCCCACTCTGAAAATGAAGATAATAAGAGATCTTTGCTGGAGAGCAGAAAAGTAAAGTAAATCATAAACGAGCCCTCTAATAGCTGGCTTGGGACAAGGTGTGATGGGTACAGGCCACAGATCACGAGGGCATCTCTGGTTACGTGGGCCTCTCTGACTTGCTCTGCATGGTGCACAGTCTGCTCTGGGATCCAGGGAGCAGGGGCTCCCAGCACTGGCTCAGCCGCTGGGTGACTTTACCCACATGGATTTCCCGGCTGGATCTCAGTTACCTCAACTAAGAACAGAAAAAAATAATTAGTGTGAGTTTTTCCTCACTTGCTCCTTTCCACATCGTCAGGAAAACTACATTCTGTCACAGATATGAAGCCACTGAGGCCCAGAAAGAGGAAAGAAGTTGCTCAAGGTCACACAGAAGTTCAAAGTCAGAGCTGGGTCCCAGGTCTGGGGACTGCTGGCTGGCTGTGCCACACTCTCACGCAGGGTTCTTTCTCCTTCTAGATAATAAAAGTATCTAGATAACACATTCTTATGAATAAAATGAACAAAACAGCCCTCTTGGTCCCTTCCTGCCCTCCCCAAAGGTAACAACTATGGTCTGTTTTTTCAGATCTTTTCTATACATTTGCATCATTCAACAAACATTGTCTATGTCTGATTATAAAACAAGGTTTTTTTCCTCCCCCAAAATTATTTCCCTGAAGAAGGGGAATCTCTTACACTTGGGTCCTTATAAAAATTTATCAGAGACAACCAAGATGGCGCAGTAGGTAAACACTGTGTTTACCTTCTCTCACAACCACATCAAAATTACAACTAATCCACAAAACAACCATTATTGAGAATCGCCTAAAGTCAAGCTGAACTGAATCCTTTCAACTAAGGATGTGCAGAAGAAGCCACATCCAGACTGGTAGGAAGGTCAGAGATGCGGAATGGGCTGGCCCCACACCTGTGTGTGACCATTAAAGATAGGGAGGGCTATTTTGGCTGTGGGGTGTCCCCTCCCCATCCCCTAGAGGAGAGAGAGATCCCAGCCCAGGGTTCCAGTGCCGGGGAGAGAAGTCCCCATAATTCCTGGTTGTGAAAACCTGCAGAGATTGTGACTGAGTTAGACTGAATGCAGCTGCACTCACAGGTGCTGCTCTTAAAGGGACTACAGGTGGACTTACCTACCAATGGAATCACTGTCTCTGAGCTCCAGCACTGGGGCAGCAGCTGGAAAGGTAGCAGGGACAGATGGTGGGGAATTGAGTTGTCTGGCTCGGGATGGGGGCTGGAGAGGCGGCTTTCTCCTGGATGGGGGAGCTGGCAGAGGCCATTGTTTCTTTGCTGAGCCCTCCCCGTTCCCTGTGTGAAGATGAAGGCGGCAGCCATTTCTGAGTCTCCGCCGTTCATTTGCCACAACCTGGCGATTTGAGACCTCGCCCCGCCCAACTTTCAGGCACACCCAGACTGCTTTCAGTAGCTTTTTTGTGTGGACCATCTGCCTTGGCTCAAACTGCACACTTTCCCAGGGTCTCTCAGAGGTTCGCAGAACCCAGACAAGCAGCATCTGGCTTGAGCGTGTCCTGTACCTCTGGCTGAGCAGCCCTAAGCCGGCACTAGAGGCAGTAGGTTTAGGTTCACGGCTTGGCCTCTCAAGGAGCTTCCAAGCACAGCATGGGCAGCAACCGTCTGCGGATTTCTTTCTGGCTCCCACTGGGTGGCCCTGGGGTGGGGAGTAGGGGAGAGGCATAGGTGTGGCTGCAGTAGACCTACAGTGGACCTCCTCCCAGGTAGTCCTGAGGCTGGAGCCCCCAGTGGCCAGCTTCAAAACGAGCTGGAGCATCACCCAGCCACCTCCAAGTACGACACACCCATGGGGCAGACTGGGCAGGCACCAGACTCCTGCTGAGGCAGGTCCTGCTCCACGGGGCCAGCCCCTGCACAACAACTCTCCCACTGTAGTCAAGGCCAGACCTCACAACCAGTGAGCCCAACGGTCAGTCCTTCCCATTGATGTGCAATTATCAACCAAGGCTCAACTACAAGAGGACGGCACATGCAACCCACACAAGGGACACACCTGGAGCGTATGGCTCAGGTGACCAGAAAGACTGCGCCACTGAACCTCATAGCACACCTACTACATAAGGCCACTCTACTAAGACCAGAAGGCATAGCAGCTCTACCTAATACATAGAAACAAACACAGGGAGGCAGCCAAAATGGGGAGACAAAGAAACATGTCCCAAATTAAAGAACAGAATAAAGCTCCAGAAAAAGAACTAAGTGAAACAGAGATAAGCAATCTATCAGATGCAGAGTTCCAAACACTGGTCATAAAAATGCTCAATGATCTCAGGGAGAACTTCAATAGAGAGATAGGAAACATAAAAATGGAAATGGGAATCATAAAAAAGAACCGGTCAGAAATAAAGAGTACAATAATGGAAATGAAGATATTACAGGGAATCAATAGTAGATTAGATGAAGCAGAGAATCCAACCAGCAATGTAGAATATAAGGTAGCAGAAAACACCCAATCAGAACAGCAAAATGAAAAAAGAATCTAAAAAACTGAAACGAGTTTAAGGGGCCTCCAGGACAATATCAAGCGTACCAACATTCACATTATAGGGGTACCAGAAAGAGGAGAGAGACAGCAAGACATTGAAAACCCATTTGAAGAAATAATGACAGAAAACTTCCCTAACCTGATGAAGGAAATGGACATACAAGCCCAGGAAGTGCAGAGGGTCCCAAACAAGATGTACCCAAACAGGCCAACACCAAGACACATCATAATTAAAATGCCAAAGGTTAAAGACAAAGAAAGAATCTTAAAAGCAGCAAGAGAAAAGCAGTTAGTTACCTAAAAGGGAGCCCCCATAAGACTGTCAGCTGATTTCGCAACAGAAACTTTGCAGGCAAGAAGGGAATGGCAGGAAATATTCCAAGTGATGAAAAGCAACAACATATAACCAAGGTTGCTCTACCCAGCAAGGCTGTCATTTAGAATCTAAGGACAGGGCTGGCCGAGTGGCACAATGGTTAAGCACTGGCTTAGAATCGAAGGACAGATAAGGAGCTTCTCAGACAAGAAAAAGATGAAGGAGTTTATCACCACCAAACCAGTATTACAAGGAATCTTAGAAGAACTTCTTTAAAATGGGAGAGGGTTTAAGGATGGGTGAAAGGAGAAAGGGTTAAAAAGTACAAATTGGTTGTTATACAGTAGTCATGGGGACGTACGGTATAGCATAAGGAATATAGTCAATAATACTGTAATAACTGGGTATGGTGCCAGATAGGTACTAGATCTACCAGGGTGATAGATGGGAATGGGGTTGGGGGCAGGGTGAAAAAGGTGAAGGCATGAAGAAATACAAACTGGTAGTTAATACAGTATGGGGAATATAATCAACAATGTTGTAAAGTTCATGTAAGGTGCCAGATGGGCACTGGACTTATCAGGGCGATCATGTCACAGACTGTGTAGATGCCTGACCACTGTGCTATACACCTGAAGAGCCAAAGTAGAATAATATTGAATGTCAACTATAATTAAATATATAGGTATATATAGTCATGGGATATCGAGTACAACATAGGGAAGATAGTCGATGGTATTGTAACAGCTATATAAGATGTCAGAGGGGTAGTAGCTTTGGGGGTGAGTTATCACTTTATGAGGGGTGTAAATGTCTAACTAGTACATTGCTTTGTACACTTGAAACTAATTTTAAAAAATCTCTCAAATTATGCTCTCTCAATTATTTTATTTTGAATGACAACTGCTTGACTAGAAAGATCTCAATCAATGCCAGTTTAGAAGGCCTGTAGATGTCACTGGAGTGAATCAGGAAAATAAATAAATAAATAAAAGGGAGGAGGGGCTTAACAATGCTTTAGTAATTTTCCCTGAGGATATGGCCTCACAAATTAAATATTTCTTAACAATAACACAGTAAGTAGTTATGTTGTGGAGATCATAAATATTTATCTACAGGATGAAATGAACAAAGCAAATGGCCTGATGTTATAGAAATGGTTTTTCGAGCTGGAATATATTTCTAGGAACAGGGTCATACACAGATTCCAAAAGTGCTGTATCCTAAACTACTTAGGTGGTATGCTCTGTTAGGTGATTGAAAAAGTGGCTCTAGTCATCAAGATGACTTGGGTGTCAAAGGTACAGGTGAGGGGCTTGAATAAAACTGTATCATGAAATTCAAGAATGAAATAAAACAGCATTTCCAAATTAACATATAGGCTAGAGGGCAGGAATGGGCACAACATGTTAAAGGAGAAAAAAGTAAATTTGAAGAGTAGTGAGGGAGAGAGAAGTGTATACGCAGAAATATATTTCGTTGTTGAAGCTGGATGATGGGTACTAG